CGGTGGCGGGGGCAGAAGCGGCGGCGGTGGCGGGGGCAGAAGCGGCGACGGGGGCAGAAGCAGCGGTGGTGGCGGGGACAGAAGCAGTGGCGGGGGCAGAAGCAGCGGCGGCGGCGGGGGCAGAAGCAGAGGCGGCGGGGGCAGAAACAGCGGTGGTGGCGGGGACAGAAGCGGTGGCGGGGCAGAAACAGCGGCGGTGGGGGCAGAAGCGGTGGCGGGGGCAGAAGCGGCGGGGGCAGCAGTGGCAGCGGCGGGGGTGGTGGGGGCAGAAGCGGCGGCGGTGCCGGCGGCGGCAACAGCAAGAGGTGGGGCTCTGACGGCGCCCGCCTTTTGCTGCTTGGCCTGGCGCCCGCCTTTTCTCTTGCTGCTTGGCCTGGAGCTTGCCTCGCCCCGCCTCGTGCCTGCCTCTCCTCCTCCTCCTTGCTGGCTCTGGCACGATGGTTGGGGTGGGCACTGGGCCACATTACGAGGCGACCTGGGCCGCAGGCGGCCCGTGGGCCGCGGGTTGGACAAGCCTGCTGTACATAGTAGTACTGGGTTTACCCCATTTAAAGTGGCGTCAGGACAAGATTTTGTACCCATACCTGAGCTTCCTCGTGAAAGGCCTAACATCCAGTCATTAGACGAATGGATATCTCAACTCCAACTTAATTGGCCAGTCACTCGTAAAGCATTAGATGACGCACATCCATCTCATAAGAAGTTTGCAGACAAAAAGAGAACTCCACAGAAACTGTATCAAGTGGGCAACAAAGTTTTCCTGTCCACCAGATATCTACAAACCACTCAAAAGTCGAAGAAACTTGGTCCTAAATATGTGGGTCCTTTCACGATTGAACAGATCGTAAATCCTGTGATAGTCCAACTGAAATTACCGAAAACTCTTCGACGAATCCACCCGGTCTTCCATGTTAGTTTGTTAAAACCTGAACATACTTCTGGTTTAAGACCGACCCAGACTGATCCTTTTATACCATTGCTGATCGAAGGTGAACAATATTTTGAAGTTAAAGAAATTCCGGACTCTTGTAAATAGAGGGGTCGGCTCCAATATCTCGTAGCTTGGAAACACTTCCCTTCTTCCCAAGCCGAGTGGGTCGATGAAAAAGATGTTAGAGCCCCTAAGCTGATCAAAGCCCTTCATACAAAGTATCCTGATAAACCCTAGAAATGTACCTGATTATTAATTAGTATCTTTTATGTTTCTTTTTCTCTTTTAGGACTAACGTCTTTTTTCTAGGAGGGCCGAATGTCAGCCTTCAAGATCTTCTACTATTGCTTTGCATCTTTTGGCTGCCATAAGTAACGGGGGGAGGAGGGGATAAAGTCTGGGAAGCGAGCTGGAGGTGTTACATTCTAGTGTTGTATAAAATGAGGAGGGGGGAGTATAAATTCTTGCTTAGGTTTCTATTTCTCGCTTAGCTTTCTTTTCTCTGCGCAGCTGCAAACCTTTATCGAAATATGCCAAGGTCAATGGACAGAGGCCTCATCACCACCTGAAGATGTCCACATGATCATATTCACAACTTTTAATTGGAAGAATCATTTGAACTATTAGGGTGGGAACATTTCCATCACTTTGTATATGTGATTTGCACGCCTAATTTCTCAGATTCAGAATTCTATTATTGCGACCACTTCATTTTCAGTAAAAGATATCTTTTCTCTAATCTAAGGAGTCTAAGTATTTCTTTCTTGAATTTTGAATGGAGCACTACCTGACTTCTTTCTTATTATATCTACAAAATGATTTTTGGGATGATAATATGAACTGTTATAAAATAAACTAAGTAAATTATGATTATCTTGTAAAACATGAATGAATAAAAGTATAGTCAAATGATTGATTAATAATGATACTAAGGTATTTAATTTTTGATTGACAATATGAGATTATATGCAATATAATTGTAAATGAAGACTATGAAATGGAAGCACAAAACAATTTGTAAACCAACCGGCACACTGTATGTATACCTACGGAAGATAGCTTGATGATTTTATGTTTTGTTTGTTCGTTTGTTTTTAAAAACCAAAAAAAATTATTTTAAAAAATGTGGTAGCCCTGGGCAAAAGAAAGGCAGTAAAATCACTGTATGTGTAGGGACAGTATAAAATATTAATATATGATAAATAATGGAACAATTCAAAATAATAGCACAGAGGTTTCTCTCCCATTTTTTTTTGTCTCTTACTTTCCCTCAAATCTTTCTTTCTTTGTCTCTCTCTCTCTCAAATACACACACACTACACACACTCTCTCTCCCTTTCTTCCTATTTCTTTCTTTCTCTCCCTTTTTCTTTCTTGCTTTCTTGCTTTCTTTCTGCCTCTCTCTCTCACACACACACCACTCTGTCTCCCTTCCTTTGTATTTCTTTTTCTTTCTCTTTTTCTTTGTCTCTCTCTCCCTTTCTCGCTTTTTCTTGTCTCTCTCTCAAATACACACACACACACACCACACAGTCTCTCTTCCTTCCTATTTCTTTTCTTTCTTTCTTTCCTTCCTTTCTTTCCTTTTTCCTTTCTTTCTTTTCTTCTCTCTCTCTCTCTCACACACACCACACTCTCCCTTCCTATTTTTTCTCTTTTCCCTTCCTTTCCTTCCTTTTTCTTTCTTTCTCTCCCTCCCTCTTTCTTTGTCTTTTTTTTCTCCCTCCCTCTTTCTTTCTTGCTCTTTCTTACTTACTTTCTCTCTCTCTCTCTCTCTCCTACACACACACACACATATACACTACACACACACTCTCTCTTACATACACACACACCTGGTCTGGAACAAACTGATCCAGTGAGCTCCAGAGCAGCAGGCAGCAGGAGAACAAAGAAAGTGAGCAGCAGTGGCGGTGATGGGCGAGTGGATGTCTCGGCCTGGGTCTGCCTCCCACTGTCCACAGCAGTGCCACTGCGGCTGCTTGCTTTTGTCCCCAGGGAGAAGTGAATGGCGGCAGGGGCGAGTGGATGTCCCGGCCTGGAGATCCCTCCCGCTGCCCACAGCACCACCATCGCCACTCACTTCCTTTCATCCCCCGGGAGAAGTGAGCAGCTGTGGCAGCAGTGGTGCTGCTGCGCGAGGCAGCCCCAGGACATCTGCCCTCCCTCCCAGAGAGCTGGGCCACAGCCACCACATATGGGTGCTCTCCCACATGGGAGAGCACCGCGTGACAGCTTAGCCAGCCAGCCAAGCCTGGGGATGGTCTGGGGGGGAGCTAGCTAGGCTGCAGCAAGCGCCACCGTCCAGGATGGGGCCACACTGGCGGGGAAACCAGCCAGCCAAGCTCGGGAATAGTGGGGGGGGGAGCAAAATCTGGGAACAGTGTGTGCGTGGGGGTAGCATGACTCGCAGGCTTACCTGTGAGCAGGCAGATTAGAGCTGCTCAGTTGGGGTGCAGGCACCATGTGAGAAGGCAGGTTAAAGGCAGGCCACGAGGACCCAGTGTGTGCCACATAGGAGGTGAGGAGTGACTGGGCAGGGCGAGCATCGGAATGAGCGAGCATTGGGCAGGTGGGGCAAACGAGCAAGCAAGCAGCAACTGGGCGACTGGGTCAGGGCGTGGCCAGCCAGAAGTCACTACCAGTTTGGTAACCTACACCAAATTGTCGCAACTAGTTCGTGTGAACTGGTGCAAACCGTCTGAATACCGCCACTGATACACACGTGTGTGTGCGCGCACACACAGACATAGAGGGGGGGGGGGGGGGGGAGAAAAATCCCATGCTACTTAATTTGGCTTTCAGAAAATAAAACACCAACACACATGTAACCAATACACAATTCAGTTCATCTGCAGAGATAAAAAATCAGGTCAAGCCGAAAGGTTTTCACATTTTTTATTGTAAAGCTTTGGGAGGGCTAATTACAGTGGTGTTTGTCATCTGACAGCTCAGCAAACTAACAGAATGGAAGAGAACAAAATGGGCTCACGAGGTGTCATGCTCACGGCTCCAAACAAAAAGGATTACAAAGGAATCAATTGTGCTCACAGTGCCAGGGGAGAACTAAGCCCTAGGCCCAAAGCTTTCCCAGTGCAAGGGATATGCATCACATTGAGAGCAATACAACCTTAGCAAAAGAGAAAGAGGCAGTACCTAAACAAATGGCACAATTCAAAAATAGTTGGGTACTCTTTACTCTGCTGTAGGATTTCTCCTTTAGAAAAAGCTACACCTGCATGTACATAAAACTGTACAAAAAAAACAAGGCATCACAAGCAAGAACTGAAATCTCGTATAAATAGAATCAACACGAAGAATTACAAAGGGGTTCCTTCGTTCCATCTCACTCAGCTGATCTGTGTCTGGCCTTGCACCTTTGGTATTATCCCTGGCTTGTCCTAAAGTAGTTCTCAAAATTCTTCCCCTTACGTTTCAATGCACTTATCTAGACCAGAACTCATGGAATGCTCTTCTTCCTAATCTTCTCCACCTCTTTTCCTAGGCATGCATTTCTTGGTTTGAAATTGTGAAGGTGAGTATCTCCTAATGGTATTTTGACCATTGGATTATCAACCACTTACACTCCTATGGCATCTTTATATTCAGTGGCAACTTTAGTGTTCCTTAAGACTATATTTCAATTACTACTGGTGCCATCTTCCCTTTTGCCTCACACAAAACACATTTCAAATCTTAGTTGAGTTTGGGGGTCAGGTAATACTGTTTTTCAATCCCTTTACCTGAGTAGCCTTTTTATTTCATATCTCTGGTAAAACCAAACGAAAAGGGATGAAGAGCTCTCCACATTCAGGTTATCAGCCTTGGCTTATCATCAAAAAGCAACCTTATTTTTTCCAATGATTAAGTAAGTTTAAAACTATGGATAGGCCTAAAAGAGGATAATCTTACCTGAGCAATGCAGGTATTCCTTCATTAATGATTTTGGCTTCCATCTATTCCTTTCATAGTGGGAAAGAATAGAATAGAGTAGAGTAGAACAGAAGAGAACAGGAAAGACCTGTTCTTTCCATACCATATAATTACCTTGGAAAGAATCTAGGTATGGTGGATAGCTGAAACCCTCCTTGGACAGTGTTTATTTACGCTTTTATTTATTAATCTCAATAACTATATTTATACATACAGTCCAGACAGATTTTTAACCAAGAATTGAGGCACAAGCCAAAGCAGTCTGGTTTGCTAAGCCCTAATATGTGGATTCACATATCATATTAAAAATCAACAAATTATTTTAGAACTTTTTCCTGTTTACATTACACATGATCACCCTAACCTTAGGCTCTTGATACAAGAGTGGATAGGAAGTGCTATATTCCTGCTCTCCATCTTATGGATTGCTGCTGAAATAGCCCTGAGCCTTAAAAAGTATAGGGATAGAAGAAGTCCTTGTTTTTTATATGCACTGGAAGTTGCCTGTGATCTCAAGCCTGAGACTCAAATACTAGAATTCAGTCACCTAATTGTCCATGAGATGAATAGAGTCACTGAACTTCTCTCTGCAATGCTTCCCACTACCACTACGTATGGTCAGAAGGTGATCAGCAGTCTGCTCACTAGAGGACAGAAAATACAGGGAGACACTAAACTTTCATATTATCCTAGAAATCATCTCTGATGATTAGAAGAAAATGAAAATTGCTTTATGTCACTCCTACCAGTTTACCAGTTGGATAACCAACCTATCTCCAAATGTTCAGTCCTGTCAAACATATACCCACACAAACAATAGTTTTACAAAGCATATCATGTCTGTTTCCTTTCCTTCCTAGACACATGCAATTGAGAAAGTTGAACAGAGATACAGCAAAGAAGGCCAACATCCAGCCCACCTTCTGCAATGAAGCTTAGAAAAACACATGGCAATGTGTGTGGAAAAAGTTGGGCCTGTTGGAACCAGAAGAATTAAGCCAAGAAAAACAAGATGGGTCCAACAAATGTCAGCTAGTTTGGTGGATAGGTCCCCAGTCTGGAGACTGTCTTTCACTACCATATCTATTGGAAAAAGGCCATAAATACTAGCTGACAAATGATTGCCATTAATACTATATTATCTGGAATCAGGCCTAGGTAAGTCTAGAATACTGAGGGATTTAAGAACTTAGTCACCAAAGCAGCCCACTGCTTGCTGGAGTGCTCTCTTATAAATTCGGAGCTGGTCTTTTGAGTGATCTCAAATGATGACATCAATGGTTGGGGATAATAATGCCCATGAATAGTTGCACCATTTTTATGGGCCTCTTCTGAAACTATGACAGGCTCCTGTAGTTGAATACTGTGTAGCTAAACGGCACTGGAAGAAAATATTGGAGCCCTTGAGGCTGTCTAAAGGCATAGGGAGGGGGTATGTGACTCCAGCATACAGAGGCCCATGAGCCCAAGTGTGACCCTGAGTCCAAGCTCCATTTCACAAAGGCAATGGTGGCTTACAGGCAGACAAATCAAAGGGCAGAATCATGGCACTGGGGCATAATGACCCCATGGAAATTCTCTGCCTCACATGAGACAGTGGTATAATTTGGGGGAGTTAGATATTCTACCATCTGAAAAACTAAAGATTCTTCCACTTTTTTAAACTACTGCAGTTCATTATCTATGGGGTAGGGGCAAAGGAGGACAGCTAAAAGCACTGACTACTAGCCATAGGGCTCCTCCACACCTGATAAGAGTTTCTGAAGTCTGAAAAGTGATTAAGATTTAAAAACTCTGCCAAGTCCTTCCTACTCAGTCCTGCTGACCAGCCAGAATACCCCGCTCCCAACCGATGTTTTATTCTTATTTTTATTTACACTGTGGAAGTAAAGGGTGGGCTGGTTGGAAGTGCTTGCCCCAATGTGCTTTTCTGTGTGGTCTAAAGTTCAAGGAGAAAATTTCTCCCTGTGGTTTTGTTTGTTTCAATGTCTTTTTGTTCCAAGGACAAATAAAACTCACTCAGGCAAGACATAAATGTCATTCCTAAAATTCATATTTACAGGAGTCTATAGTAACAAGAGAGGCAGCTTTTCCCCCTGTACCTGTGCCAAGAGCTCTCAGCCCTGTGCCCAATGGACTCCACCAAATCTGTGTGGACCTTTGGTAACTAAGCCATTTCCCACCCACCCCAACCCTGAAACCAAGAAGCCAAGCTCTCTTCACTATATTCCTTTCTCTCTCTTTCCAGATATCCATGGATCACTCTATTGAGAGCGTGGCCATTTTGGTTGGTGTCAGTTCCCTTGACCAATGAGGAATCAGTTAATGAAGTGTTTCCATGCCCAATCACTGGGCAAGGCGGTCTCATCTGGCAGGCACAGAACTGCGTGTGATGAGTGATAAAGAATCATAGTTTGAAAAGTCACTTCATGCTGGAGCACTAGACGCTGGTCTCAGCATTGTTTTCAGATATTATGTGGCTTCCTCATTCTCACAGATATATCTCTCGTTTGGCTGTTTGGGATGATGGTGTGGTGGCTGTTTGGAAATCTGAGGTCTGGGTGAGAGGGATTTCCTCCATGGGGGAATTCTTGCAGGGCTCATGGCTACTGTTGGAGAAGGCACTGTATGTGGGGAGCAGGCGGAGGTTAGCCATTTTGGTGTTGCACTCTTCTGAGAGTCTCGGACTTCCATTCCCAACTTGTTCTTGACTCCCTCTGTCTTGATAAGGCACAAATGTGGAGAGTTTGAGGGCATTCTTGGGCCGCCGGTTTGGAGAGGACTGACCTGGCATCCAGCAGGTATCAGAGTGACCAAACTCTGTGCATTCTCGAGTACAGGTCCCTGTCAAGGCTACATCAGGCAAAGGTCGGAGATCTGTAAATAAGAAACAAGAAAAGGGAAGAATAAACATTCATTCATACATATATAATGCAACAACATAACTAGCTAACAGTTAAATCTGGGAAAATATATCTAAACAGCAATTTCCCTATAACTATCATAGAACCAGAAAGAAAAAAAGCATCAACCTCCCACATGGTCCCTGCGGCCCAACCTTCTTGACTGCCTTTCTACATGGTCCCTGTGGCCCAGCCTGCTTGCCTGCCTTCCCTGCTGCCTCCCCTATGGTCCCCGCAGCCCAGCCTTCTTGCCTGCCTTCCCTACTGCCTCCTCTATTGTTTTATCTATAGTCCATTACTAATATCCATCATCTATAAACATCAAATAGACATCACATTTATCGCCAATAAACCTCCAAATAATCCTACAGTTTATTTATCTTAATTATTTAATGTTCATTATTCCATTACACATCTTTGTTTACATATCTAGATTTCTAACTTCTGCTACTACCCATTAATAGAATAGTTCCTAGATCCAAAAAAGTGATCTTCTCCCCATTTCTAATTTCTATCTTTATACTAATTCTTGATGGTATAGTTCCTGTGTTACAACAGTGTTTTACATGTATTCCTCATCTCTTGTCAGTTTTAGTATCTCAATTCTTATTGATTTCTTGGCACATCTCCCATACTCCTCCCATGAGATGTGTATCCCCAACTACATTTTTGGTCTCTCAAAGTATAATTCACCATTTCTGTTTCAGCTTTAACTATCTCTTCTTTTTTGTCTTTTTGTATCATTTGTTGTTTCCCCTCCTCTGTCCTTTCCTCTGTTCTTTCTATTTTATTTTCTGTTGTTTATTGTTTAATGTCTTTTGGTTTTCTGGTCTCATAACTACATCATGTATCAGTTCTGTTATCTCCCTTTGGTTCCTTGTCACCATTTCCTACATACCTTGGAGAGTCAATAATATTTCTTTTAGTAAAACATTTATTTCCCCTTGTAGTCCAATTTTGCCTTATTTTAATAAATTTAAATTTTTACTCAGTAATCTGTCAGAATCTCAATGTCCCAGTTATATCACACCAATGCCAATAGTAAAGCAGTTCAAACAATTAATTAATCCCTTAACAGGCTCCACTTTGTTTCAAAACTCCAAGCTGTTTCACACTCATACACTGTCCAGCATAATTATAATCCTCAAGGTTCTTACAGAAATCTCCACAGTCTGTCTCCAAGGACCAAGTTTAAAAAGTTGCAGATGTTAAGTGTATTCCAGCCAATCTACCCTGGTCGTAACAACTTTCACTTCATTCACTTTTTCCAGTTATATATTGTCTTCCTCAGCCAGCAGGTGTCACTGTGACTTCTTTTTCTCCATTTTTGCTGCAAATAAAATGTCTCCGGATACAAATATCTTCCAATAATTCCACAAAGTTCTTCAAGTCGAGGAGGTAGGGAGAGTATAATCCAGAATTTTGAAACAATTTAATTTTTAAAGAGCTAACCAATCCAATCTGTCCTTTATTTTTTAAAGTAACTTCTGACTTCAATTTCTTTTATTTCTTTACCAAATCTGACAGTAGCTCCAGGTCTTTAGTCGCTGCTAATTACCTCTGTTGAGTCCCACTTTCTAAGGGGGATGCTTTAGGGAAAATTCCATAGCAAAAGTTAGAAAAATTATTACCTGGACCAAGCACACTGCTACAAGATCTTTCCTTTTGTCACTTCCATTTCAGCTGTCTTCACAGCTTCAGTTCAGCCATAATGGCCGTCTTCTCTTCTGCTGGTTCAAGGGGTTTTCTTTGGGTCAGTCAAGGAGACTGCGCTGTCCTCGCAATCACTGAAGCATCCCCTCTACTTTCATACAAGGTGACTTTCGGCTCCATAGAGCCTCCAGACTTGAAGAAATTGCTTTGCTGTGCAGTGAGCTGCCTTCTCCAGGCTGTCAATGCCTTTCATTGCAGCACATGGAGCAAGACGGAACTCATCTTGCTGTCTCTTCTCTCCCTATCACCAGGCATGGCAGATGAGCAGAGGCAGCTGCTTTACAGCATTAAAAGCAACTGTTACAACAGCCTGGCAGGTAGAGTGGTCACTTTTGAGGGTTTTGTCCCCGGTGTGGGAAAGGGGGGAAAGGGGGGAGAGAATGGTAAGCAGGGAAGGGAAGATTAATTTTTTTAATAGATTAGAAAATGATATGAGGGACTTTTGTGGAGAAAGTCCTGCACATTTGTGGTGTTGGAATGGATTATATGTAACTCCTAGTGTTCCTATGGATTTTAAGTAAGCTCTTGGAAACTTTTGGAAGTATTTACTTTTGGTGACTGAGAGCAAAAAGGTATTTAATGGCAGTAAGTTAGAAGTACCTTAGAATTGAAAACAACTATTGTTGGTGACAATGCTTTATGAAAATAAAAATACTGGACCTTGTTTCCATTTCTTGTTTCTTTGTACTGTATTTTCCAATTATTTAAATAAGCTCATGTGATAACTTTTCTTACAAACTGTTCATGTTGACTATTTTGATAGACTCTGAATTTGCAGAAAGGGTCCTCTGAGAAGGGTGGATTTGCAGTATTAAAAAAGAAGACAAATAATGGCGATTTAATGACTAATCTATATGCTCTAACAATTATCTGAGGCCTGGGGTCCCCATTTGTACCACCCAGAGGGCCATTGTATACCTGTACATACCTCACTAGTTGCTTGGCAATTAATCTACTCCACCTGTATTTATATATTCTTCAAACTTTGTTTAAACTTTTTTTAAAAAATGGGAAGCTATCTTGCCACAAAGCAAAACACCATCCTCCAGAAAAATCATTTATTTCTTTATTTATATTCTATCATTATTTTTATAAGTAATTCAAAGCAGCAAACATTCCAAATATCCTTCCTCCTAATTTCCCCACCACAGTCCTGTGAGGTAGGCTGTGCTGAGAGAAGGAATGACTGGCCCAAAATCAGTCAGTCAGTTGTTAACTCACTGAGCCATTTCTGGACTTTCCTTCAATGTGAAAAAGAAAGCTATCTGTAGCTAGTGTTTTGTTTAGAAGTGCATCCACCTGTCTTGAAAAAGCAGACAAATTATAAGCATAGGACTGTGCATTGCTATGGTAGACATGGAAACATTCTTTAAATAAAATATGGCCTTTTCTGGGGAAGAAAGGCAGCTGCACAATCCCGGGAAGCAGCATAATTCGGGGGTGGGGGGGCGGTGGGGATATGCAGCTGCCTTAAAGAATTGCAAACAAGTGAAGCATTCCTTTTTCTGTGCTCTCCAAAATATATTTTTTTTTGCATTTGAATCCAAAATGCAGTGGTACAGTACAAGAGGGCAAATAAGAATACACAATCAAGAAATGTTATTAGAAATAGGTGCTTTGTTAACCTATCTGTCTTCCTAGTGGCTGTTTTGCAAAAACATTCACAATAATAAATATCCATCAGAATCCAAATATAGGGTTCCAAATTTAGGTGACATTTATGGCTGCTTATTTTGTTTCTACTAATAGTAAAGAAATAAGTGAGAAATTAACATTTTTATAATTATACTAGAAGTGGAAGAAACAATTATATAAAAGGCTTCAAATTTAATTGAATATATAATTTCAATTAAGCCAATGCAATTCCAGTAAATTAGAATTTGCTCACAGAAATTCCCAGATTAACCCATGACATCTCCAGCAAGTGATAGATAAGCTCTTTTTCTACCTAAGGCCCAGAAGAAATAGTACTGAGTTAAATAGACTATAATCATAAAAGTAAAACAAAATGATATATGCAATTTTATCTTCATTTTAGATGTCAAAAAGATTTTGTGGCTCCCAGTGTTTTCTTTTCTGTGGGAGAAAGGTCCAAGTGCCTCTGAGCGTTTCCCCTTGCTAACTTACTGCTTCACCCAGAAGGCTTCCCTGAGGCCCAGGGAAGGCAAAAAATGGAGAGAGGGGCACAGCGCTCTCCTGCTCCATTTTTTTCTTTCCTGGGCCCCAGGGAAGCCTTCTGGGAGCAAAAATGTCCCCTTCTAGGAGGCTCCCTGAGGCCCAGGAGGCCCCAAAATGGAGTGCAAAGGGGTGCTGCGTGCCCCTCCTATGCTCCATTTTTTTCCTTCCTGAGCCCCAGGGAAGCCTTCTGGGAGGAACAATGCCCCCCAGGAGGCTTCCCTGAGGCCCAGAAGGCCTCAAAATGGAGTGCAGGGGGGGGCTCTGCGTGTCCCCCCATGCTCTGTTTTTTTCCTTCCTGAGCTCCAGGAAAGGTTCCTGGGAGCAAAAATGCCCCCCGCCCCAGGAGGCTTCTCTGAGGCCCAGAAGGCCCAAAAAATGGGGGTTGGGGTTGCTGCAAAAAAGCCTTGCCCACCCAGTCACATGGTCACACCCACCTAGCCACGCCCACAGAACCGGTTGTTACAAAATTTGAATCCCAACTGTGAGTTGCAATGTATTTAAAGGACCATTATACTGCTACAGAAATGCTCGAAACCAAAAACGAAAACCTAGAATGCATATGAATCAATATAAAAGAAAAAAAAATGTATACTACAAGCCACTCAACCAAGCAGAAAAAACAGATGTACTTTTTGCCAACCAACTAACAAATATATGTAGGAAACACACTGGATTAGTAATGGGGGACTTCAATTATCCTGACATCAATTGGAAGACTAATTCCATACCAAGTGAGAAATTGAATAGGGTGCAACCTAGATGACAACTTTGTTGTCCAAAAGGTAGAGGAGGGAACTAGAGGGACAGCCATACTGGACTTAATTCTTACAAACAGAGAAGAAGTGATAGAGGGAGTTGAAACTGCAAGAACCTTGGGTGAGAGTGACCATGTCATACTAGAATTCAACATAACACAAACATGTAATAGAACATAATGATACCAGAGTCCTAGATTTATAGAAGCTGATTTTAACAAACTTAGAGAGAACTTGGGAAAGATTCCTTGGATGAAAATCCTAAAGGGAAAACAACTCAAGAAGCTTGGGAAACTCTGAAAAGTATGACCATAAAAGCCCTAGCACA